CAGGAGTGTCTCGACGAACCCACACAAGATCTCTCTCCGATTCTTGAAGCACTGGGGGTCAGATATGGGTGACTCTTGCTCAGTCGCACAAATGCTTGTTATGATAATCCATCACAAATCTTTGCTTTGGTGATTCTGCTGAACAAGCAAATGTCTCCAGGGCCTGATCACTTCGCGAATGGACAAAGCGATATAGTGTCGCAATCTCCGGTCTATAGCCGCTGGGGACAGGATGCTGCAAGTCGTAGGGGGCAGGCCCTGACATTACTACGGATGGCTCATCATTATGACGATGTAAGGGTAATCCTAAGTCAGCCGTGATATACAACCACTTCGTTTGATCTTACCATGACACCGTGGTTTTCGGCCGTCATGTCAAATTGCTAGCCAAGTGCCTTCTTCCTTGACCTAGTAACTGGCCATTTCTGCTTACATAGTCCAATAATCTTATAGAGTACCACAAAGCGCATGTCGTGGTCGGTCCTCTTGATGTAAATGCACTGATCGACCTCGTACTTCTTGCGTTTTGACTTCTGCCAAATCGCTGGTCTGGTTCCACATTATTGGCGGATACTTCATACCGTACAAGCGCTTGAGCAGGCCAATATAGTCCATATTCTGTTCTGAATGCATACGTTTTGGCTGCATACAGGAGATATCTTGAGCACGCCGCCTTCACGTTCGTTTAATGCAGCGTTACAGCGTACTTAGTCGCCAGACCAGCAAAACCTTGATTACCGCAAACTTATTAACACTGAAAAGGTATGTAATGGTCTTTTGGAAGTCCTTTTGACCACGGGTTGCGCTGTGTACCTTTCGAATTCTTTTCGGTTTGTTTGCTTCATGCCAAACATCCTCCCACATCCAATTGAAGGTTTGATTGTGAGGTGATAAAGCCAACACCAGGTCATATTTATGCGGAAAAAGCTGCCGTTTGAGTTGCACTATTCCTTTGGTGTCGCTCAACTTTTATCCAAATAGCCGCAATATTTTGTGATTATATCTATGTTACGAAGTCAGCTTTGGAGCAAGACATGAGATTGTATAAAGTGTTTGCTATGACATTGATCAGTGCCTTGAGCAATGCTCAAAAAGCAGAAGCGGACATGAACCGCCTCGATTTGATCTCGACATGAACGTTTGCGCAGGGTGTGTGTATGAACCGCACCTGTATATTATTGTGGGCTGTAACAAATCTCCCTCCATGTATAAAAGGAGGTGCAATTGTTGTCAGGGCTTGGTGGGGCGTCAGAAGTCGAAGCTCATGATGCGCGGTATTTTATGCGCTGTATTTTTTGGATGCGTATTCGTATATGTTGTGACATTAAACATCTTAAAAGATGTATCACCATGAAGAAAACCTGTAAAATTTAAATGCGAATGGATTTGTGAAGTGTAGGCTGAAAGTGTTCGGCATAAAATACAGCTGTCCTGCCGCGACACCTGAACCCGTTAGACTCAAGATCTCCATGGCCGTGGAGTTAAGATCTCGGTGAGACTGCCATATCGCAATACAGTCTGCTGTGATCCTTCTTTTATTTACTGCTTAGAATTACTTTTGTGCAACTTTGTACGGTTAAAATTCCGGACCACGAGTATGAGCGCTTGTTAGTATGTAGGACACGTATTGAATTCGAAAACATCCGTTGCCGCAGAGAGACTCGCTCGAGCCCGTTTGTGAGGTACACCAGGGTAGTAAAGGTGAATATCAATAAAAAACCTTTCACGACGCTATTGAGACCAGACAATCAATTTGTCAATGAGGTATTGCTGTTTGGAGGCTAAAAAATCGCTTTGGTTTTTGGCTAGTAACGTATGCTTGGTGCCTTAAGCGAAAGCTGCCGCTATAGCAATTTATAAAAAAAGTAAACCTGATTACTAACAATTGCTTATGAGAGCGGGTGATATTTCGCTGACAGCGGTGAGTACTCCGAGTGGGATGCTTGGCATTGGCTGGTGATGCCCCAAGACCAATTTTCACGTTCAGACTTCGACATGGATTCCACTCCGTTGGTATTTGATCGTGACTACTTGCGAGTAAACTTTCCTAACCTGATGAGGTTAAGCGTAGTCATCTGTGCTGTACAAGATTTTTGAAGCGTTGGCTATCAGCAACATTTGATATGACCTGACCCGACTTGAAGTTATACAGCCTAGAGAATCTTATTTGTTCGGATCAGCCGGGGATCGTGACAGGTAAATAATATTTACTCCCTCGGCCATTTCGAAATGGCAGGTAACGTCGTTCCAGCAATAATGCTGTCAGCACTACTTAAATTATCTCGAAGGATTTTACTCAATTGACTTTTTAAAGCAAACATTCAAAGCAGTAAGTCGTGTGCCAATTTCTTGACTCCTATTGATCCTCCATATTTTTCGAAATTGCTCTCCGTCAAGTCTTTTTGGGTTGGCCGTAAGCATACATTGATCCGATAGTACACTATATTTGTTCATATTCGGTACTGTCCGGTCTGAATCTGGATCGCCTCACGGCGTCAAAACTGTTGGCTGTTGCTTAGTGACTTGTAAAACACTTGATACGAAGTAAATCTTCATTTTGGACCCTCCTGAAGACTTGATAGCGACATCTCACAACTTCTTCACACAGCGACATTGCAAACTGAACAATTGAAAGGCTGATGTTCGGTTTAGTGTAACAGTGATATTGAACAGAAAAATGTAGTGAAGTCCCTAGCAAAGCCGTAAGGTGATTAATATTTTGTGGAAAGCGTATTGGGATTACGAGAACGACGACATTTAGTCCCGGTGATCCCATGACGTCAGAGGTGTGATGTATTGAGAAGGATTAAGGAAGCTCGCGGATTGGCTTTAAGTTAGTACCTGAATGCAAACTAGGTAAGTTTTCAGCTTACCAACGACTACGCACATCTACTGTATAGTAGTTTATGAGCACGACTGAATAATCCAGATAGCGCTGAGTGCTAAATCCCGGTCAGCTTTGACAACCGTCGAGGAATCGCTGCCGCACCTCCAGGTGTGCCACAAGACGAAGAAAAAGCTTGCAGAGGAGTCATGACGTCAACGCCCAAAACCTCACGACACTCGTCGATCCTAATGCTTTATATACGATCACATCTATATCGAAGCTTCAGATCCTTCATCCTGGATGGGTAAGATAATACGTGCCTCAGGTTTAGCACGCGCAAACGGCAAGTGTTTTGAATGGTCCTCAGTCATGAAGGCAGATCTGATTGGCAATTACTGAGAGGTCCGACTGAAAGCCAAGACATGGTGGCGACACACTCCAACTTGTAAGAAATTCATAGAGTTGCAGTATCAGACGCTCAATACAACGGACACTCCGTCCAAGTCGATGAAGGTCTAACAACAACAATCACCGTCATGTAATGAGACTTGTTATCTTGGGCAGATAGCGAGAAGGTCGCAACCTCCTTGTTCCGAACACTATTCCTCCAATCTCTATTGGCGTCCTCGCTCTGATGTCTTTTCATTTTTCAGAACAAAGCAACTGGGTCTGACCAACTTTGCCACATACATAGGATCTGTGCGTACCAGACTAAGACTTGCTTTATGTGGTGTGTGATACAACTCTTAGCTAAATGAAGCAGGACTTCAGATGTCAAGGACGCTCAAAGCATAACGCGCAAGCATTTATGCTCGAGCAAGGCATTTCATCCTCTTTCCAACGCAGATGACCATGATAACCATTTGAAAATCATTTGAAGAAAAATCGACAATGCTATTGAGAGAATATCTGTCAGCTTTGCCGCACGCATATCTGTCTAGCCGAACTTTGTCTGAAAATCGGAGCATGCCGTTGTGGCCGCGAAGGTGGTAAAGCGCTTCCCTGGATGGTGACCGTGAATGTGCTGATTAATATGGTTGCTCCTTCATTGGTCAAGTAAAGTTCCATGTGTTAGTTGGCGGACAAAAGAGAAGAGGCGTTGTTTGACAAATTAACGTCTACTAAATTCGTTGCAGCATGCATCGCAAGGCAACCTGAAGCTCAAAGAGTATAGGCTTCAATACTCTAATCGACCGGCATTAATTTTGCTTGACGGCGCTTTTGAAAGACAATAATGATGCTTCCATCATCCCTTTCAAACTATCGAGTAGTTGGCATTTGAGCCTTAGTCGGGCATCAAGCAGACGGATGCTCTAAGGAGAAATGTGTGAAGCAAAGTAGTCGAAGAATGCAAAATAGAAGAAGGACTATGATGCGCATTTATCATTTGATCGCGTCAAGAATGCAGTTCTTACGGGCCGAAAGAACCGATCGCTCCAAAGGACCGAATGAGAAATAGGTATGTTGTCAGTCTTGTGAATACCTCTCTGTAGAGGCGTTTTAATTGTCAAGCTCGTGTATCCCGACTGAAGGCATCGAAGAATATAAATTGGCGACTCTGTTTTAAAAGCAACTGAGATGGATAGACAGGGATGAGATACGTCAAATGTCAGGGCAGAACGCTTGCACCGTACAATGCACATATGACGCGTTCGACGATACTGGCTATTGATGTTCCACAGTTTTATTGAAGTAATGCAGTCTAGTAGTCGGTGAGCAGCTTGAGACTTGCGTGCGATACCACAAAGCAACTACTGAAGTTGCACAATTTTTCTTAATTTTGTTCAACTCATGCGCAGTTTATCGTGAATATATGAAGAATAATTTTGCACGCTGGCATGATTATCAGATGTAGTGACGAGATCACGACATCTGCGGTAAAATCCGCATAGGCAACATCATCATAGTGTCCAAGTACGTTGATAGTATTCGAATGATTCCCAATAGTAAGAATGAACAGTACAGCTTAGCTTGGAATTAGAAGCTTGCGCGATTTTTTCATAAGACAACACGCGAGCCACTCACTCAAACTATTGTGATTGAAGGGATAAGAAAAAGGCAAGGAAAAAGACAAGCGACGCACGCGTACCCCTCATGCCACGCAGTGAGCCATCGAAGATAGATGATCGACACAAAGAAAACAACGAATGTTGTGACCACTACTTTTCAATTATACAAGCAGAAACCAAAGACATGCTCAGAAGCGTGGCGCAGCTGACGGATGGAATAAGATCAACGATGCCAAGCCCCTTCAGGATTGCAAAGCATGAAACGTAATTATGCACTTAAGTCCCCGATGTCGAAATCTTAATAATTTGTATCGCTCTTAGGGATATGGCAATGATGATAGTGACCTTGCCACATGATGAGTACCTGCAAAATATGGTGGTATCTGCACATACCAAGTGACATGTCTTCACGGATAAGCAATAATAGAATGCCTGTAAGCTGAACGGCAGAAGAGGAAAAAAGTTTTCAATCTCTGCAATGAAAATGCGTTCGTCGTGGCGGTAAAATGACCCGCGAGCTTTCAGCTATTCGTCACGTTGTAAGCAGCTGCAATATCCGGAATTAGAAGACAATGATGTTAGTGGATCTAGTTCCAGCACTGCCTCTTGAGATTCATGTGAGAAATGGATCCGTTATTTCTTGGATTAAAGAAAGTTTGTCATCTCTAAAAGTATCATTTAAAAATATGTTCCTCATTTTTGTCAAGAATTTTGCGCGTCGTAACACCTTCAAACTGCATTACTAGCAGAACAAGCACCCGCACAACCGCTTCAAGCTATGACAGCTAGTGTGATTGCAGAGGATGTAGTCGTGTAAAATTGACCTATTCCGCCGGACCAAAATGTTATACTGTGGACAAATCGATTGAGCCGCCGCAGACTGTGGCTTCATTTGTGGCACTTACTAAAGTAAGTGAAGCTTTTCTAAATGGGGTCGTCTACCGAGGTAATTAGGAGCAACGTTTCCTTAAGGAGCTCTGCAAAGTCACTGAAAAATTTCTTGGACGCTTTTACCAAAATTATGATCAAGACATTTTGTTGTAGACGGTTTAAGCTCAACCTAGCTCTTAATGGGTCTTGCTTAATTCTAGCACTAAGGGAAATTTCCACCACATCCGCACCAAGGCTTTTGGGCGCGCCGTACTTCGGAAGCTAAGTACTCGTACCTATCCGTTAATCGACGATGGCTGGCAAAATGTTTGAGCGAATCTCTACTCTATACCCCAACAGACCGACTATGTCTCCAGACCGTATTAGGGCAACTGTGCCCGAAACAATACTGGCTAATGTTATGACTGACCGAGGCTGATCTAGCTCTGCAAATTATTGCATCTAGTATCTATCTGGACCCCCCAAAATTAAGTGCCGTCCTTGGGAGGGCAGCATAGGCACTCCCACACCCGATGTGGCTACTCTGGGATGATTCGACATTGGCTGCCATCATCCCGTCGCCCTTAATAATGCGCATTTTGGCTGGACTCTTCCCACTGCCCTTCGGGAGGCATTTAAAGATTTACGAGAGCAAGCCACTAAGGTGACCACTCCAGTTCCCACTCATCTCTGATGTACGATGGGTCCTACGGAGTTTCTCTCTTGACGCGAATGGTCTAAATAATGTCACACAACGCACCTTAATTTTTTTCTCTAACAATTTTCACTTAGTGGGAAAGAGGTAAAGTTTACGGGTATCAAAAGTCTGGAAAGGGATAAACACCATTGGAGTACGGCTTCGCTGCTAAACTCCAGCTTTTGGTCACATATAATGACATATACAGGGCAGGCTGGTGTCGGTCTACTATAAACGCCGTCTTGCCCAATTCGAGATCTTTGTGACATAACGTGTCGGTATGTGAGCTATTTAGATCACCTATCTCGGTATCTACTTATTCAAGGCACTCTCGATGCAACTGTCACTTATATTCACGTTGTCTACGTTCCTGCCAGCCAAGTAAAAAAGTCCGATCTCCTTATTACTTTACCCCGCCATTTGATGCGATTACCAGTACATCGTTATGAGCAAATTTACACTGGTTTTCCAGTCAGCTTGATCAAGCCCGACACAGTCACTGCAACCGACATCAAGGTCGGAACGAACTCCTTGAGTAAAGAATGCGTTAAGCTTGGTTGATGCTTGGCGACATCAACACACGGACCTTCAAGAATTTACAAGTCTTAACAGCCGCTCTCGCATAGACTACGTCTTAGTAAGTTCCAGACTTTCTCATCCGCCTTTCAAAACATTCGCCATGACTTTCGCGGCTCGGCGGGCACAGGTGACCATTACGGAATTTTGTTCGAGCTCGGATGCTCAGAGTTCAAGCCACCGAATCGGGCGCCCTGGAAATGTTCGTCATGGGTGAGCCGGCTGCCTGAAGCCCGAGGGTATTTGCAGCATTTCTTGCGTGAACTGGCGGACTCATTTTGGGCCCCCAAATAGGAATCCAATAATCCGTGATGCCTATTGAACGAGGAACTCCATATTTCTCCGAGAGTTGTTTTTTAGAAAAAAGATGAGCGGAAACAGGTATTAGAAAATTTTCATTTTCAGGTGAATGAGCTTCAGCACTTGCAGGCCCAATATCCGTCTGCTGCTGACCCAACGGAACTTACACTGCTAAGGCCCAGCTTAAATAAAGGTTGGCCGAGCAAAACTACTACGCGTCGAAGCACAAGTTTTCCTTCATCTTAGACCGTGCGCGGCTCTGAATATTTCATTCAGCCGCCCCTAAAACTCCACAAGACACCCATTCCTGTGGATTCGGCCGAAGACTTGGAGTCAACTTGCGCCGAATTTTTGTCCTTCTGGTCTGGAATATACTGCTCACCTTCAAAAGAGTTCGGCCATGGGCGACCCAAATGGGACTATATCAATCTTGCCCGAATTCTTCAGGACACTACGGCACGTCTCGCGCCAAAGGATCAGGCTTACTTGGACAGTCCCTTTGCGGCGTTTGAGTTTTACTGGGCATTAGCTCACACTGCTATTGGGAAGACATCGGGGTCAGATGGCTTACCCGTGGAGTATTACAAGACGGACTTATCTCTCCAAAGTTAGATACTTGAGATAGTTTATGCTGCTCAATTTAAACGCGGGAAAATGACTAAAATTCAACGGCGGGTCCAAGTCTCGCTGCTCTACAAACAGGGTGATCGAAAAGTTCCCGGTAACTATCGACCAATCTTACTACTCAATGTGGATGCCAAGCTGGGACCAAAAGGTTTAGCCCGCAGACTTGGCTCTATACTCGGCAATTTGCTTCACTCGGATCAACATGGATTCGTCCCGGGCCGCGATATCCGCCACGCTCACATGCGATTTCAAGCACTGTCCCACTTGTTTGCAAAAGGTGATTCCCCTGCTGGCGCGGTTTTATCTGACTCTGCGGAAGTCTTTTTTAATAGTGTTGTCTGGGACACACTTGACGTGATTTTAATGCAATTTGGATTTGGTATTTCATTTAGACGTGAGTTCGAGTTCTTTTTCCGGCACACTAGTTTTCTTAATGTTCAACGGGCGACCACTCGATCCATTTGAGCTGGGTTCCGGGGTTCGCCAAGGTGATCCTCTCTCGCCCGCACTCTGCGTACTATTTATTGAGCCATTGCCGTCAAATATGTACGGGTCCATCTGCATGACTTTGGACTTCGTATCGGCCCAACAACTCAAACGGTGATCAGTTTTGCTGACAACTGTACTGGGCTTTTCCGTGATTCAATTCATACTAAAGTCTTCCTACAATTCGAAAAAGATTTTGTGAGGCCTCCGGTATGTGCCTAAACAAACGCAATACAGTGGTTTTGACTTTTAATCCTTCGATCGACGAAATATAACCTTTTTGTCAAAGCCTTCGCAACAGTTGGGTTATCCTGGTGAGAACTACTGACCGCGCTAAGCTACTTGGAATGTTCTATGGCCCAAGCCTCACCGAAGCTGACCGCCTACAACACCTAACAGAGATAGAAACCGGTGCTCATTTTGGATTCATCGCGTGAGAACATCACGCGGGCAAATAGTCATTCTTCAGTAAGTTATTCCACCTTTTCTATGGTATACCGCGAGCGTCGGCCATATCCCAACAACAGGAATCAAGACCAGCTCTTACAGCTTATTTCGCGCTTCATGTGTCGATTAGATACATCAAACGCGCTGCCCCGCGACCAGTGGTTCCTTTCCTTGGGCCTAGGGAGACTGGGTTTATCGCCCATTCCAAACACGATTCTGAGTCTCCAACTGCATATGCTGTTCAAAGTGATACTGGCAGGCAAATTAACGCCTAACATCCCGTCTTGGGCAGTGAAGTATCGGAACTAAGCTTGGCTCTCATTTGGCCAATACTTGCTGAGTTCTCGGTGCCAGCGTTGCCTTCTCCTGGTTGGGCGTTTCAAGCACTTCCCCTAAGTCAATGTGAGTCAGGGATGTAGAAACGGGCAGGCACGTTCTGCTAGTTGGTTCCAATATGCTATACAGGCTACAGCATAATGCTCACTTTTTGGCTATCGGCTTCAACACCTACTCGGTACTCAGTCGATGTGCCACCATGGTTGCGAGGTTCTGGAAACGGCCCCTTACCTTTTTTGGTACTGTGATTTTGTGGGCAGACTGGATTACCGATTTTCGAGCCCTTTTTCTCGGTGCACTTGAATGGATTCAGTCTTATTTTTTTACTGGAGCCTGAACCGGTGGCCAAGGCCCGCTATGGCTATAGCCTCTTTGTGGTTTTTCACATTGTAAGAGCAGTGATTTTCCGGTGTCTATGGCTACATCGGGATGATATCCCTTTCACAAATTTCAAGCCAATGTTATGGACGTTCAAGCTTGGGTCAAGGCCGTCGTAGTGCTTTAAACTGAGCGCTACTATCAAGATCTTCTATTTAAATCTCTGAGCCACTCAGGACTTCAACAGCGCAGTCTGCACGAGCTGTTGGCGAGCCTCCATCTTACTAAAGCGCAGCCACTGTGCCCCGATGCTATGGATCATAAAAGGTTTTCTCTGTGTGACGCCAAATTGGGCGCTAACACTGGCTACAGTGCTACGCTGCGGCCACCTTTAAAGTTTACCATACCCATTTTTTATGCATCGAAAATTGGGTACTTTCTTACCGAACGGAAAAAAAGGAAAGCAAGAGTGTACCGCTTTGATTTTCCAAAAAGAGCAAAACTTTTTGGGGTTTTGGCCTTTTTCCTTTTCCATTTCCTTTTGTACTTTTGTTATGGAAGACTTCAAGCTTTGGTATTTTTTGGCTTATTATCCTATTGTTTACGTATGCGTCCGTTTGGAGCCACGGGCTGATCCAATCCACGTTACAATTTGCACAACCTTTTGGTGTAATAATCTTCTAACATTTGCGAGCCGCAAGCTATACGACAGCGACCGCTACAATTTCGCCCGAGGACTCCCCTAAGCGTTAAGTTGGCTTTCCCATTAGGATTTTTGCATTTTGCCGTTGACTTTTTAAGGTATTGTAACGATATTTCAACGACAATCTCGAAGGATTTACCGCAAGCAACCGAATTTCAGACTTTTTTTAGTAGAAGACAACCTTAATGATTATTTCATCCATCACCAGCCCAACCCAATTATTGGTCGCGTGGGGACTCGAACCCGTAATCTACAACATGGCCATGCAGTATCGTAACCACTCCGCCAACAAACAAATGAAAACTATGGTGTCTTGATTCCTATTGGGGACAATGCGTTTGCCTATCCTATACTTGGAATTTGTATAGAATCCGTTTATTTTCGTATATTTGCTAGATCACAAGGTAGTCAGTGTAATGAAACTCATTTCTGAAAAATATATAAGATTTTATAGGGTTTATCGCAAATGGTGATACAAATAAAAAATATTCGCGAGATGTGATACAATCGTGTTTTAAACACCATTGTTATGCAAAATACGGAGAAGGTCAACAGCAGAGTCTATCTTTTAGGCACATGCAGCAAAAAATGAAGTGGATCATTTGTCCTCCATAATTCACAAGCAGATTACCACATCATGTAGCTACCGATACCGCAACCTCGCAACTCGGAACTAGGCCGCTAACGCTCAGATTCACAGTCTCAAAGTCAGGAAAA